TTCAAATACTCCAGTTGGTCCAGGAGTTGTCTTACACGACTTTCTTTCTTTCTCCTCTAAGGCAATCACCTTACTAACCCTAAGACTGTATTTACACAAACCAATAATTAGCAAACCAATAATCGTTTCATCTTCTTTCGTTTAAATCACACAAGAATCGCAGCTCCCCTTTAAATTTTATAACACTGGAGACGAGAGGATCCAAGATCGAAACATTGCTTTCAATTTTTGACCACACACCCCAAGATCGAAACATTGCTTTCACATGAAAACCCAAAAAAAAAATTCAGAGAAATCGAACTCTTACCTCATTTTCCTGAGAATTCGAACCAAATTGGCGAAACCAACCACAAATTTTCAGTTTTCCCTACTCGAATTTCTGAGAAATCAAAGAAGACTTTCTTTGTCTCTTTGTTCCAGACTCGTGAGTAGTTGAAGGAAGGGGAAGAGATGATAATATTAGGTTTTTTTTTTTTTAACAAAACACGAGAAACGATGTCGATGTCGTTTCTTTTGAGATGAGAAAAAAAAAATTAAAACATAAATCTGAGTTGTTATATATGTTTTAGTGACTAAACAACACACTCAGCACCCATAACGGAGACATTAACACTGTAAGCTCTGAAGTATAAATATACCTAATTTAATTAGTTGGGGTACGAAAAAGTATATTATATAGAGTCTGGGTAGAAATATGCACTCTTCGACAAAGTGGGTAAATAATTTCGCACTTCCCTAGAGTGCGGGTATTAATAAGCTGAAACCCCTCGTCCTCCGGTTGTGGAGGCTGTGGTGAGTAACAGTGGTCGGCAGAGACTTGGGACTCAAATCCAAGAGGGGAGTAAAGGCCCGCAACATCTCGTTGACGGCAAGCAAGATGACGGAGAGTGAGGCAGCGGAAAGCCAAAGGCCATAGTCGCTGGGGAATCTCTCCGGTTGAGCGAGGTGCATCTTTGCCGTGACGGGAAGAGAGGAGATACTCCTCTAACGTCTCGGAGGTGGAGAAACCGGCGAATCCCCAAGGAGAACATAGTAAATCGGGAAGCTAGGATTCGCAGCGGATTTGTGCACAGATCGGGTGGATCTGGCGGGACCGGTGGCTCCGGAGGATGACGGTGGTCCGTCTGTGCCGGAAGGATCAACCACCGGAGGTGGGAAAGAGTCTTGTACCGAGCTATTTTGCTGGTCGTCGCGGAAAGAGGGGGCTGGAGAGCACGGCGGTGAAGGAACTCCATCTTGATTCGTCGAGCGGCGGAGGCAAAGCAACGGCGGCGGTTCAGATCGGAGAATACATGGCCTTCGTCGCTAGGTCAAACTTGTCCTCAGAGCCCCGTGCCCGAAAGAGAAGCCCCTTGCTTAACTAACTTTTTTAAGTGTGAAATATTGTACGTGATAAGTTAATATTTGTTTTTCCAATGCAGATGATTTAACCACAAAACTATAAACTTATTTCATGAAAAAAAAGTTGGAAGTTTTTTTCCACGAAATACTAATGGTCAAATGAATTATCTTGCACATCTGACTTTTTTTTTAAAACATTTTTGATATTCTGTTTTAAAAGTTACATTTTTGTTGTTTTATCATGTTAAATCTCCGATTTTGTCTATGTTCATGATGCATGAATCAAACCTTTCATCACACAGACGAGTGTTGCAGCTTCTTTGACATAGCTAAGAACATGTATATATCCTCACCCATTTTTAAAATTGCAACGTAGAAATTGTATTACTTGAAAGGTTTGAGTATTTTTCAATCTTTTTTTTTTGAAATCATTAATTACGGTGTCTCCAATGCATAAATTTGCTTCAACTTCGTTCATCTTCATTAGATTCCCCCATAAGTTACAGTTTCGTTTTGGACAATTTCTTTCATGAAGAAGATTCGAATGGCATGTCTTCTTTCTCTTTATTGAGATTCAAATGGCCACAACACATATCTTTATTGAGATTCAGGTAAAAAGACACATCTTTTATGTTTTAAAAGTTGCATTTTTATTGTTTTATCATGTTAAGGCATCGATTTTGTCTTTGTCCATGATGAGTGCGGCATCTTCTTGAACATAGCTAAGAACTTGTAATATCCTTATCCATTTTAAAAGTTGCAACGTAGAAATTGTATCGCTTAAAAGGTTTGAGCTTTTTTCAGTCTTTTTTTTTAAATCATGAATTATAATGTCTCCAAAGCATAGATCTGCTTCAACTTCGTTCATCTTCATTAGATTCCCCCATAAACGATCGGGAAGAAATTGATGTTTCTAAAAACATTGGGATCAAATTAAAGTATAACTCTTTGAAAACGCTCTGCTATTACATGTATTTTTGCCATTTCCAAAAGAAACTATGATTTTGAACCATATATTTGCAGCGTAATGCTTCGTTGTCTTTATTTCAATCCATAACACAATCATTTTCGTACTCGTGATTACTATTTTGATGGGAATGCAATATTTAATGGATTCTTAAATTTCTTCTCTTTTATGTTGTTGTGTAGAGCTTCATCTTCAAATCGTGTGTAGTAGCAACATCGAAATACAACAAATGCAGAGGCTTATTTTATATTGTGTAACGATTGTTTTTTTTCTTTATAAATACCTACCTAAACCCAAAATTAAAACTATTTTTTCTAGAAACGTTTAATTATTGTTTTTTGTATTATCTTCACATTTGTTTAGATTTTTTTTTTCTTGGTCACAGTTTAGATTTAACTTTAAATATTATTTTTCATTAATCTATTATTTGTTAGTTAATTTTAATCCCATTTACTTTTGTTTGTACTTTACAATTTTAATTGTACTTAACTTTTCTAATAGTTTTA